ACTGAGTCCTTTAGATACTTTAAAGGCTTTCAGGGCTGTTTTTTAATATGAAGTTTACATCTTTGACTTACTTTTTTTCGACATTTCATATTGGTACAAATATAAAGCTTTATAGATATAAAATCATTCTACAAACAAATGCTTACAACTCCTAGTCCCCTACTCTGGTGACTATTTACACCTTTACTTTTCATAATAAACTCCTTTGTAGGAGTTCACTGGAAATGAATGGGTTCGATTTTTTTTTCCAGTTTTGCCCTAGGACAATTCGTGAATAACATATCCATGCTATAAAAGCTTAATACTCTATGCAGTAAATTAAATTGTGGAAGCAAATAAGAGAATAGGAAAGACAAGAGCTTAGTTAAGTCAGGAATTTTCTATAATGGGGGAAGTTCCTGACAAATGGCTTTGCATAAACACATACACATGTACACATATATACCATATGCCATTGAACAAAATTTGATTCAGAGTCATGGAATGTACAAAGGTCTTTTTGAAGTCTGTGGGAGAATTTAGGTTGTAGCGTTGAGACAAATAGTGAAGACTTATGCAGAAGAAAAATATCATTATAATAGTTGCTTGCTGAAGGTAGTTGATATTCTAGTCAACCCTTAGAAAGTATCATGGGCTCAGAAATTTGAATGACATGTCTTTAATCATATGCTTCTCAAAGAAATTTGAGCATATAATATTGTATTAAGAGTTGTGAAAAAGTAAAGGAGGAAAGGTAAGGAAATGTGCTCCACTGTTATCATAATACAATTTACCAATGAGGAAATAGAGTAAAAGAGGCTAAGTGGCTTACTAAAGCCAATAGCTAGAAAGGGATGGAGCCAGGACCCGACGCCACTCAAGTCCAGGACTGAAACACTCAGTCACAAATAGAAATGGACCCTGCTGAGGCTGAGTGTGAGGGCCATTATTTACAAAGTCAGTACCAGAGATAGATGACTAGACTTCTGCTGTGCATGAAAATGTCACTGTGTTAGTCAAGGCCCCCACAGGAAGCAGCCTCAAATTAGGTAAACTTTAGCAAGCTTAGCAGAGAGATTGTTTATAAGATAGTGGACCAGCACATACAGCAATCACAGGAAGATGCAGTATCCTGGATTGTGTGACAGTTGAACCTGAGAGATGAGGGAGAAGAGAACCCCAAAAATCAGAGGGCTGTGTAGAGACTACTGAATCAGGTGATTTTCCAGTGACCCTGTTAGGAAACAGCTGGAATATTAATCCTTCTTGCCCCCTTTCTCTGATCTATTGCCAGGCTTCCCATTGGCTGGATTCAAAGTCAAAGTGCAAGGAAACTTGCTGATGTCGTTGTTAAAGTGAGTCTGCCTAGGCCCAGAAAAGGGGTGAGAGGTCTTGAGGAACACGTGAAGGTGGCCAATATAGTCACGCAGGCTGGGCTGCTTGAGGCAGTCAGTAGACCCAGAATTAGTCTGTACATTGTTTGTTACAGATTTACATCGGGATAGGGAAACTGAATCAGAACGTAAATCAATTGTGAGAGTCTGTTCATAGCAAGATAGCCTCAAGAAAGCAGCATCTCTGTGGTGGTTGTTGTAGGACAAGGGTCCTAGGAGTTGCAGCACTTTAAGTAGTGCTGATCCAGACTCCACAGCTCACAGAGGGTGACAGGAACACTACAGTCTGCAAAAGAGACTCCCTACTTCTGCTTTTACTTGTCTGCCTCTTGCTTCTGCTAAAGTCAAAAAATGGTTCATTTCTGTATCTCTGAGCAGGGCTCTAGGCTAAAGTTCTTGAATGACAGTTAATTCTTGCCTAGATTTTCACTTTACAGACTGGAAACAGGCTCAGAGCATTAAGTAATGGAGGTACAGTCGAACAGCTAGCAAGTAGCGGAGCCTGTAGTCAAGCCTGGGTTTGACTCCAATGAATGTGTGCTTTCTAGACTAGACTTCTTCAGCACCCTGCTTAAAATGACATTAACATCCAGGAAACAACAGAGCGAGGAGGAGATTGCCTTGCTCGATGACTCACGGCTGTGATTCTCTCTTGTTGGTAACAAGAGAGACATGGTTTCTGGGAGTAGACATACCCCAACCTCTGAAAAATCAGCATGATTAATGAGTCCCATGTTACTCTTCTTTATGAGCCCTTCCCCAACCCAGCTAGCCAGATCAAAAGATGAAGGCAGTCTGTTTCTAAGAGACTCTTGTCTGTTTCCATCTCTGTTTAAACCCAGGAGGTCTGGAAGAACATGGGGAGAAAGAATTCATGAGATGGATACATTTCCTACGAAATGTTATTAATTGGCTGGGAAAAACAAGAGCAGGAAATAAATTAGCTGCTGCTTACTAAGTAAAGGCATCTTTCCCCCTTATCTCATTAAAAATTAAAAGCACTCTTGGTTTAAGTAGGACAAATTAGTAATTAAGTGCTATATAATCAACTTGTGTAAACATAATATTGAAGGGGAGGCCAAATTAATCACTCTATTGGCTTGTTTTTGCCCCCATTAATGCACCTTTTACTTGGGTCCTTCCTGTAATGTCAGGATACATTTTCTGCTCTCCTCTGTTGCTGGCCATAGGGGGCTGTGGGCTGTGGTAGCTGGACCGACAGATGACAGTGGACTGGGTAAGGGAAAAGCGAGTGTATCAGCCTTGGTACAAAGAGGTGATGAGATACCCTGCTTCATTCCTTAAGTCAGGGTTCATCTGCAGGAGGCTGCCAGGTGACAGGGACAGTCTTGGAGGGTAGCAAGACTAGGAAGAGGCAGACACATCTCAGTAGCCACCAAGATCCCAGCTAGTGGGAGGGAGGTGGACACCGACAGATACAATTACAAAAATGTCAATATTACGTGTAACAGCAGAGACCAGTTTGATTTGACTCAGGTTCAAATCACAGCTTTCCCACTTACCTTGGATAAGTATTTCTTGTGCCTCAGAGCCTCATCTGTAAAAGATAGCAATCATACTTGCATCATACAAGTATGATGCAGGATCATACATGATCCTGTCTCTGCTTTCAGAGAAGTTACTCCACTGCAAAAAATTCCACTCACAACTCACAACTCTTGTTGTAAGGTGTAAATTACTAGTATGTGTACAGGGAAATAGTGTTTACTTAATGCTGGCCATTTTTTGTTGAAACTACAATTGCTATACAGTGGGATAATGGAACACCAAGGAGAGGGTTATCTTCCACTGTTTTGAGGACAGAGAAAGCCCTTCCAAGGAGGCAGCCTTTGAAAGGGGCTTTGGAGGATTAGCTCCTGATGGAATAGGAACTCAGGAGGGAGGGGGAGGGGGAGTGGAATTTTTTGCAGTGGAGTAACTTCTCTGAAAGCAGAGACAGGATCATGTGCCTCAATCCCACACAAATCTCTCTCAATTTCAGCTCAAGTCACTAAGTATTAGTAATAACTACTGAAGCCTCAGTCATGTTTTATTCAACTGCCTGCCAAGCATGATGGGGGGGGGGGGTGTAACAAGGTAAGCCATTTGGATCCATTGGCATCAAGATGAGAGTAAACCAGACAAGGCAGAAGAGAGAGGGAAGCCCTCTAAGTCACCTCACTACAATCCAGGGTGAAAGCACTCCCCTCCTTCACTCCCTCCCTATATGTTTGCACCTGACCAGGTAAGGTACAGTATTTCTTCAGGCCTCAGCTTCATATTAACTGACCTCCCCACCCCCCCAGGTGAGTCAGTTCAAAGAGTCTGTGAATGAAAGCACACTTAGCACAATACCTGGGACATAGCACTGTTCCTATTCCCTGTATTTATTTAGTCTTTACAACAAATCAGTGAGTAGGTGTGTCCTCCACCTATGAAACAGGAAATTGAGGCATCAGGTTACTGATAAGATGATCTTAGGTCACATACATGGCTAGCGGTAGAGGGGAGGCTTCAAACTCAGCTGACCTGGATCCAGGCCTGCCCTCTGCATGTCCCCTGCAGCCCAGTGCATCAGAGTATGTCTAGAGCAAGATTTATACAGTATGTGCTAGAAATGAAGCAGACCCACTTCTGTCCAGGCCCCTTACTTACTGGTAAGAAAGAAGTTCTTCTTTCTCTTGCTTTAGGGAATGATAGGATGGAGGCTAATAGCTTTGGTAACCCTCAAACAGGTGGGACAAGTGGCCAGGCCAGAGCAACACACCAGGAGGGACCAGCCCTGGGATGTGGTGGAAATGCAGCTATTTGCACTGATCTTAGTTTTGCTTTAGGAAGAAAAAAATTGTTTATTATTTACACACTACTTCCATAAAAGATTTGAGGATGTGTATAAGAGAAGATGAAACAGAATAAAAGAAAGCAAACGAAAACTCACAGGTTAGCACCTACGCAGAAAGAGGAGACTACATCAGGCTTGAGACTAGAAGTTTCCAAATTCATATGCTTGCAGGTGCCAGGAGTCCATATAATCTTGGGAAGATACAAGCAAAGAAAAAGATGATTTCATTGTATATCAGGTTGGAGAGTAATATACTCTGCCTAAGGACATTAAAAATCAAATTGTTTACACCCTGGATCAGTGAGTGCCAAACCAAACAGGTTTATGGGACAGATTTTGCCTTATGGGTCTCGGACCTATGCATAAGGGGATTACTTTGAGCTTCCAGGCAGCCAAGACAAAACTGGAAAGTTTGTCAAGTCATACAGTGTTTACAGTTCCAAGTATACAGCTCTCCAAAGGAGACCTTGGCCCCCTGTCAGATTCAAAAGTTGCCCCTTTTTAAACACTAACTTAAAGCTCTTCATAGAAATTTCACCTTGTGAAAGGTCCACAGCAGGAGACTGAAACCTTGAGTTCAGGTCCAGGACCCTCTCACCCTGGCATAAACTCTCTGGGGTTGCAGGGAGGGGTTGCTTGCCCCAGGGGTATTTGAGAATTCCCAGTATGTCTCTCCATCTCTCTTCCCTGATATTCTTTCCCTCCACTAACTCTACAAACAAAGCTGCTGTGTCACTGACCTAGGACTGTCTTAGTGCTAAGGGTTTTTTTTTTTTTTTTACCAGCCTGGCATCAGGAAAGTGCTAGAATGAAGTGCCCATCAATCAAGAAGGGCAACAGATGTGGAAGCATATCAGATGTCAGTAAACAGCAAGCCTCCAGAGGCCTCTGGACTTGGCATCCTCTCAGCAGAAATACCCGGTTGCCTTCAAGAGGGAACACCATGGACTTTTATAAGCTGCATTAAGCGATGTATTTTTTATTAATCTCCACTTTTTCTTAAGGGCAGACTTAATGCTCACAGACTGTTCTAGGCTTTCAGCCCTGGAAGTGTAGGTCGTCAAAATATCTTCCCAGTAATCATGACAGGTTTCACGTTCAGCTTGTCTAGTACCCTCCCTTTTACTGTTAACAGTATGATTCATGCTATAAATAATAAATAGGACCACAGTTAAGAGCACAGATGCTGATTTCAGAGAAACCTGGGTTCCAATCCTGAGTCCAGTTCTATAAACTAGGTTGAAGTGGACCCCTTCACCTCTCAAAGCTGGTTGTTAGAAAAATATAATTATTAAGAGCCCATGCCTCAAAGATGGTTGTTGTGAGACTGAGATAATATATAAAAAGTAGCACCATTAATGGAATTTATAAACTTTCAGTGAGAATGACATAAAAAGATAGTAATATTGTGCTGCTACCTATTTCAATTAAGTGACAGCAAACCACACACTGTACTCTCTCTATATAATTGAAAGGTGTTGGCTCAGCCTGTTTGCTTACAGACCAATCACATGTTCACCTCTCCCCTGCCTTGCTGCGTGTTGTTTCCCAGTGTCCCTGGCGACTGGCCTCTGGGCAATGTCAGCCAGTGGGAGATACTGGTAGAGGCTGGCATGCAGGGAGAGGGGAGAAATCGGACCATTTCTCCCTTCACTAGGGCGACAGCTGCGTCTCCTGCGTGACTCCAGCACCCAGCCACCCAGTCAGGTCCCAGGCCTGAGCACTCTGCAGCTCCCAGGCTTCCGCTCCAGCCAGACATCACCAGGTCCTGGCTCTGGTCACCAATGCCTCTCCCCACCCCTTGATCCTGAAGAGAGGTGGCACTTCTACTGTTATGATCTCTGAGTTGTTTCTGCATCACCTGTTGGATTCTTGCTTTTTCCTGTCACCTTTGAAATCCATTTTTTCTTCTCAATTATTTTTGTTGAAAGAGCTAGAGTGATTTTGATTCTCCTGTCTGGACCCTGATTGGACTAGTTGTTTTTAATTTTTAAAATCCACATTGGATTGAGTGAGGCCAGCAGAAGAAAGGGTGAATCGTGATCATGGGGAGCAGTTCTCTTTGACACTCAAAATACAAGAAATTGACCTATCATCTTCAGTGACCACCCAGCTCTGAGTTCAACAGTGAGGCCAGTGACCTCCTGTAGCTTCCACCTCTCTGAGGATACAGGACACTGGGAGCAGTTCAAGGTAGTGTGTGGTCAGCAGGAATGCAGACTCCTTTCTTGAGCCTTCACTATTCTATATGAGTCACTCTGTCAGCTATGTGACTATTCTCATCCCCTACATAAGGAAATAGTGGCAGAGACAGCAAGTGATTTGCCCAAAATCGCATAGCTAATAATGGTGGCAGGAATTTAAACTTCTGTATGTCTCCGAGCCTAGTTTACCAGAGACTTGTATCTGATCATCAAGATTTCCCAAGGTTTCCTCTGGTTTCAAAGCAAGAAAGCAGCTTACGTATTTTATTTTGCCTGGATGATCCTGCAGAAATGTCCTTGCAGAAATAGTATTCAGCCTTTCTCACATCATTGTCATTACAGCTGTATGTGAAAAGCATATTGTTTTCATTTTTTTTACAAATGAGGAAACAGGTTCAGAAAATGAAAACTTACCCAAGGTCACACTGGGTGTTGGAATCTGCATCAAGTTTTTCTGTCCCCACACCTACTGGTGACGCCGATGACATTGAAGTACTGGATAATGTGTTACAGGGCAGTGTTGTTCCTTTTTTTTTAACAAGTTCAAAAGAGAAAACTCCAGGTCCCCCACCTTCATGGAGCTGACAATCAAGCTCAATAAATAACGAAGCAACCTGAAACCAGAGAGTTCCATTACATAACTTACTCTCTGGTGATGGCTGTAAGCAGGAAAGAGAAGGGTGGTTTTGGATAAGAAGGAGGGCTTGCAATGGAAATGTTAAGGTGGGGCAAGCAGAGAGGGCTTGGGGGGTGGAGGTGTGAGTGCACAGGAGTAAAGGCAGACAGAAAGGATATTAGCATGTCCTGGGAAGGAGCCCAGTGTGAGAGCAGCGATGGACAGAGCTGGATATGTAAGAGCTGCAGTGGCTTGGGACCGGGAGCTGGTAACTGCACACAAATCAATTGTGAATTTGATCGGGACTCTGGGGAACATCCTTTTAGCTCCGCATCCCCTGACTCTGCCTATGGTGTAAAAAAAAAAAAAAAATGTAGGCTGATAGTCTCACTTTTAAAAAATCAACAACATTAAGTGCTTCTAAGATGATAATAGTGCTTCCTGCTTAAGAAAAATAGCCTGTAAATTAATACAGCCTGGGAGTAATAAGAAGGGTTTATTATTGCCAGCAGGTTTGAAGGCTCCCTATAACAGGAGGGCAACACTCTTTAAATGCCCCTAGAAAGCTCCTGTTTCACGGGGTGCATTTGTGTGTGGAGTGTGCTACATTGTGTTTGAGAATTTCAGGCTGGAGAAGGCACCAACAGAGACAGTGCTACAAAACCAGGAAGCAAGCAATCCAGTCCTCATACCAGCCCAAACTGCTCCTCCTCCTCTGTGGTCACCCAGGCCAGGAGGGGCCTGTGTGAGGGAGAGAGCTAACCAGAGTGAAATTCCTTTTATCTGGCCGTGTTAGTTTCACCTGTCAGCATCTCTGACAGGGAGGGATCCAGACAAGCGAGACTGGTTTGGATAATTGGTTTTTAGCAGTTGTGCTTACCTCAAACTGACTATAGATGTCAGAGAAGAAATGTATAGACTGTCCTCCAGTGCAGAGTCAAGCAGGTGCTTTGACGAGGTGACTGCAGGCTTTTGTGAGTCCGGTATGTCACCATTCCCTCATGGGGCTCCTAAAAAGGACAGCAGGGGAAAATCCTATAGTTTGCAACCATTGTTGCTCATGTGATTTTCTGTGTGTGAGCTCACTTAATCCTCACAACCATCCCATGAAGTCCTGAGACTAGGTGTGCTTTGCAGAAAAGGAGAATCACAGAGTGACTTAGTTGTTTTGCCCAGGACATACAGCCATTGAGATGACACCCCAGGCATCCTGACTCTGTAGTCTGCTTCATAGTGAAATCCTGAGGTTCCTTGGGAAATCTCTCTAGGTAAGAACCCCCTCTCCACTTCCCTACCCCTCCCCCCTAATCCCCTCCCAATGCCCCCACCCTCCCATATCTCTAGCACTGTGCTTTGATACCTGCATCTCCTTACCCCACTTCAGGTAGGATTCCAATTAAACGTCCAGGTCATCCTCATCGTTAGCCGGTAGGAAGCGCTACATGCTACGTCAACATGTATAGCTCTGCACTGGAGGTGAAATTTTACAGTCTAGGTAATCTCCATGGAGCTGGATGAGGCAGCAGCTTCTTGGGGCTGGTTTCACAGAATGCTGACCACTTAAAGCACTGTGCTGCTCTGAGTGGACTTAGAATTGTTTTAAAGAATCAATAGTTAAGTATCTAGGGCCCTTGCTGGTGGTACAAGGGATTAAAGCGCAGCACTATGACGCTAACCACAGCCACCGCAATACGAGTTCTAGCCCCGAAATAAGGTGAGCCAAATAACGGAAGACCTTTCCTGACCTGCTGATTGCTCCCCTCGGCAGTGTACCTCAGTCACTGCACCTGTTCTGTTCCCCACTATGTTTCTGGTGAATCCTCTCACCCGCCCCACACCTCTGGCCTGTATCCCAGTTCTTGTAGCATAAATAAATAAATCTTTAAAAAAAAAAATCAACAGATACATATCTGTTTTAGAGAAGCTCTGCTACCTGTCCACAGGGGTAATGTGTAAGGGTATTCATCACAGCTTCACTGTAATAAATATTGTTTATCCATGAGAAGAGGAATGATGAGATAACTCTTTATAGAACCACGTTCGAAAGCACTACATGGAACCATATGGACTGATCTGGGAAAGGCTCCATGCCATGTTGTTATGTGAAACAAGCCAATCACATTCATCAGCATTTTAAATAAGACGTGGAAAACAAACACAAGTCTTTAGCGGGTAAATCCAAGCCAGGACCACCTAGTTATTAGGTGTAGCTCTGAAAACAACTTCCCAAAGTGCTTATGATTCTTCACTCACCCTTGTTTTTATTTTCAAAGTTGAGCGCCCCATCATCAGTATTGGTTCAGTTACCAAACAGTACAAGGTATGACCAAGGCACGAGGCCTCATGAGTCCTCCTCTTCAAACTGAGCAAAGATTCTGGTTTTCAAAAAGTTTAAAGCAAAGGGCCACCCGTGGGGGCCAATACAGAGAGGAGAAGGTGATCTAGTCTCCTCTCTCCCTGCCTTTCCCCAGGAAAGAGCCACTACGGAACATAATGAGCACTGGGCTAGCTTGTGTCGAGGGAATAAGCCACACTGTAGTAAAGAGATTGCTACCGAAACTTAAACCAATAATAAAAAAAATTCAAAATGGGAGAGCCAAACCCTGAGAAAAGGCAACTCCAGGACTCTCACGCTGGGACCCGTGTGCCTGTGACCGCTGGCCTCTGTGTGTTCTGAGGAAGGGGTGCTGGCTCAGCCTGGCCCTGAATGGTGGGTCAAGGATGCAAAAGCCTGCAGGCTGCCGCCTCCTTTGCTGGAAACAGGCTGCGTGTCGTGGCACAGGAGAATTAGAAATTCTACCCAGCGACTCCTGGAGATTGATTTTCCGTCTGGGGATCTGACCTCTTGCTTCACCAGTAGAGGGGATCAGACTGTTCTGGGAGGAGTTGGTGAGCTGGCCCTCTGAAAGGCCTTCCCTTTCTTTTTTCTCTCTTTTCTAACTGTATGCTTCAAAAGGAATCCTGATTCCTTTGGGGGGCTTAACACCACCATTTGGAATCCTTCTAGGCATGTCAGGCTTTGAGGAGGTATCTGTAGCACCCCCCACGTCGGTCCTTTGTGCTAGAAGATTACTGAAGATTTCATTCCATTTATGTCATTGGATTTATTTGAAAAAAAAAAAAAGCCCTTTGAGTCAGGGATGAATGCCACATTTCCTTTATTTTCGTCAATTTTCACAGATCCCTAATGTGAATGGATCAGGGATAAGAATCTTGCTTGAGTTATTTCCCTATGTCAGTGCCTAACACAGAGGCTGACAGAGAAGCTACTTAGTAAATGTTTGTTCGTTCACTCAATAACTATCCCCAAGTACAATGACGAGCAAGATAAGCATCATCCCATGTTTGTAATTGAGTAGAAAAGCTAATATATATCTATGTAATTTATATCTTAAGGGTTGTAAAGAAAAAAATTTCAATGGTAGAATAAATTATAATGATTGATGAGATAAAAGTAAAATGACCTCAGTGCCAGCTCTAAATCTTTCTCATCTCATCTCTTTATAAATAGTAATTATTGCTATTATTTTAATTATCACAACTGCTGCCATTCTTGCGTCTCTATTACATCTCAAACTCTGTGCTAGCATCTTTATAGGTATTACAAAATACCCTTGCCAGTTAGTCCTCCTTATCTTTTATTCTAGATGAGAAAAGTAAGACCTGAGAAAGATAATTAACTTGTTCATGACCAGAGAGCTATTGTCCAATATAAAATTTGAATCAAACTTGATCTGACAGCACCTCTGCTGAGAAAAGGCAACGTTTTCCAAGATTATCATCAGGGGGCGTAACAGGGGCCCCCATTTGAAAAACACTGCATTATACTAAGTGGCAGAAGTTCAGCTAAGTAAGGGGGAAAACGAGAGGAAAGTGAGGAGAAAGATAGTATTCTTCAATGGCCATCTTATCAGCCTAGCAATAATAAACCATCACCATGGCAACAGAAACTCTAATCAATGACAGATGTTGAGTCACTTTAAAAACCACACCAAATGAATGCCGAGCGGGTGCTGTAAACCTCTCTCTCCTGCCACAGCTGGGCTGATCGTGCGATGGTCTTGTTGGCGAGA